TCACATATTTACCTTGATTACATACTTTGACTTTTAGGAATCCGGATCGTTTTGACATTTCGTTATTTTCTTCATGATTTCTCTACGAAACTTTTTCAAGGATTAAATAATTTTAAACAATGAGATCAGAGACGCCACAGTAGTTTGTCATATACACGAAGGCCACATGACCTTGATGACGTAACGAAGGCATGTTGTCAGTCGACAACTTGGCATACATTACAACTGTAAATGTTTAGGAGAAAGGGGGAATTAACTGCTGTGTATACAATGAAGACCAAACATCGAGATAAGAATTTGGAAGTTCTTCAGTTAGCTAAGCATTTGTCTTTAGAAAGTAAAAATCCCTGGCCAAATTCAAGAGGGATTTTAAAACCCGCCTGTTTACGTCTGCATTTTAGACGCTCACGCAGACGTCCTGTATATACATACTTTCACCACTACTTACTTGATTTGGTTACTGTGTTACATATGTTGATTACTGTGTTATACATGTTCTATAAATTTTGTAGTAAGATTATTATGTAATTGTGAAGCGCATTAGAGTGCTTTTTCAAAATAGATAGTGCGCTTTATAAATGTTGTATATTATTATTATTATAAACAAAAATATTGCATCTTTTGTTTGTTTACAATACAAAAATAGTGCCTTCTGTTCCATAGTATCGAAAGACCAAAGTTTTCCTAGTATTACCGGAGTTACTGCTTTGCAGCATTATTTGATTTTGGTCCTTTTTCGTATGTCTTTGTTAAGTCATCGTGCGAACGTGAAACATTTCGGGAAGCGTTTTCTATAAACTATCAAGAAACAGCAGATCTTCCTGGCTGATAAATTTATCTGTACGCTCTCTGTCCTTGGGTACGTACAGTAACTGTGGCGTGAACATCATTTATCTGTAGCATGATATATTAATTATCATTGATGATGGGACGCCATTATATTAATGACAATCAAATCAAACATGACCTATTTAAACCTATTTAGACGAATTGTCGTCAGCAAGTGCTTGACCATTTTTTATCAATATTTTTCTGTCTTTTACGAGTTAATATTGCTTTTCATATGCAGGTTTATGAAAATTATGGGGAATCTTAATTGTGATTTTATTGAGAAATATTATTTTTTATGGACCTGTTTGATGCTTGTTAGTTTGCCTGTTGTTTCCATTGTTGTATACCTGGTCTTATTCTCCTTGTACTTTTTCATGAGTCTCCGTATAAATCTTTCGTTCACATTTTGCCCTTGTGTTGTTGAATTTGAAGTTGGAGTTTGGTTATATCGATATGTTGGTTAGTATTTACTTGATGTTTTTTCTCATTTTAAAACGTAATACAACATTTGATGAAACATGATGTTATGTTTTGCTTCTCATATATCATTAATTGATTAATTGTTTACAAACGACGAAAAATGACAAATAGATATATTTCAGTTGACTTTTAATGGTGATTAATGTATGTTTCTACCATATCAGTGTTATTAAGTAGCATTGCTATTCTCCTGTCAATGAGCATGAGGTAACATAACATAGAATATCTTCTTATAATGGTTGTCAGCATTGATAAACATTTATTAGCCATTTGGCCCGATATTTACTGATATTGTCCGGATACTTTACATTTCTTTCTAAAATCCTTTTATTCTCATTAAGTAATTGGACCATGCCTGACGAAATGTTATTCAACGATAACACTTTAAAACAACTATGCCAGCACCTTACATATCAAAGGATATAGTTCATGTCAATCGAGAAGGTGTCGAAGATACCTTTTTGTTTCACATAAACAACGTAATATACAATCTCGATGGGCTTTTTTTTGAGAGGTGTGTACTGTACTACGACAGGTGTTGCATATGGCATTAGACTCATCTTGGAAGCATAATTATAATTACTTTGCTTTTTGCGATGTTGATAGTTTGATGTTGTATTTCAATTTTTGTTCGTGTCTTTTTCGTCTCTTAGTGTCAACGACTATAATTTATGAAAACGAATTCGGATAATTTACAATTTGTTTTCTATATAAGTGAATTCTTGAAGTGCTTCGACTTAAGTTAATATCAGATGAACAGTACGTTCTGGAGTTCTTACGAGAACAAGCGAAGGACAAAGTGATACCATATGTGCATTTAACAGGCATAAGCTATGAAGGCTATTTTACGATGGGTCAATTTCTCGTGGGTTAAAAATGTGACAAGTCTTGAGTCCGGCTAAGTCTTTCTTATCAAATGTTATTTCCTTCACTTGCAAGATGACAGTGTATTTTTCTATTCTCCCAAAGGTTAAGATTGTTAGTTCGAGATGCTTTTTATGAATACCATTCCATTGTATCATTTTAAGCATATGTTATTTGACATCCACGGTTTATCATTTATCCGCTGATATAATACAGTTTATTTGTACTTTTTTTGTCAATCTCATTCAGAATCTGAATCTGTTTTCATTGATGTATTTAGCGTGGGTGTGCTGTAACATGTAGAGCACACAAAATTATCAATACATGACAAATACTGTTTTAAAACAGTGTTGTTAACATAGAAAACTCTCTTGTGTGAGGTAGAGGACAAATGAATCACTCGTGTAGGAACTTTGATTAACATAGTTAAATATCCTAATTAGGAGTCAGTTTAAATGTTAATTGATAATCCACTTAATTTTTATGCCAAAAGAAATACTAATATCTAATGGCAGGTCAGCTTTCATTTTCAAGTTTATCCAAGAGACGCCTGTATAAGAATTGCTCCAGTTGTTCTCATTAAATAATCCTAAGAGGAGACTGAACTTCGGATCATTTTAAAGAGGCCGTTAGTTGGGGCCATTTGACCGTGTATGAAAGGCTTTGTTTTCTGTACCCTGGCCGAAATGTACCAGATCCTTTTAAAATGGTAGTTACTACTTTTTGTTTAAAGTTCAGCATTGTGACGGTGTAACGGCTGGTTTGATCAGTGTCAGTATTGTGACATTTTGTGATGTTCTGTAATGACAGTTGGTAATAGCATGAAAACACTATACAGCCGGCCGCAATTTTTGAAAGGGAGATAACACAAATATTTTGCAGTCTCTCTACAAACAAACGCATTTTTCATAGGCAATCATCCCGCATACACCGGAAAACAATTCATAAAGTGACCTTACCTGTTCACTATATATTAAACAACCTGTCCAAAGATTCTACACTACTGTTCGGTTGTCTACATATAGAACCCAGTAGTAGTTTGTTACTATTTCTATATCGTGTACCATTTGATAACTTAAGTCTTGTGCTGATGGTAAATAACTAATTAGGAAAAAATGGGTCTGGTTGATGGTTATCAGAAAGAGTTTGATTCAGTGATGCACATTAATTCTAAGTGCATAAAAATCACATCTAGTCTGCATAGAAGGACTTAGGTTGTTTCAATTTCAAACTACATTTTCGAAATATCAACAATGAAATTGAGAAACAATTATTAGAATAGACAGTTAAAAAAGATCGTTTTGACAAATCACAATACCATAGTAGTTACAGTAAATACTTGTAACCATAGTTTAATCAAACATTATATAAAATATTCATGTAAATATAACACAATGACTACCAGCATTCATAGGTCATTGGATATGAAAAATGACTGTTTCTAGATAGCCAATATTAATTGGATTGGCTGTCCAAACAAGTTCGCAGTTAATGCGTTGATACCCATTTCCCAGTTTATGTACACATGGTGGTGCAAACTGGTTTTCAAAGGTTAACTGTACATACATTTTGATGACAGAATTTCTACTATAGTGATGATAGTTGATTTGTAGGCCATCTAACTTTCTTACAGTTGCAGACTTAATTCTTACAAACAAAAGCGAAATAAATGAGGACTACATACATACGTATACGTGAGGTGTTCTCTAAGGGACCTAAACATTTGTTTTCCTTTTTATTACCAGAATTTAAGTAATAAAGAGGATATCAATAAGATTATGAGCTGAAAAAAGTAAAACATTCCCAATCATTGTGATAAAAGACGACAGTATGTAGATGTGAATTAAGATAAAAGATGTAATAACACATAAGAAAGGATATCAATCATTTACCTGTCGACCAAGAAGCACTTTATTGTCGTCTCTTTGTACAGGTAATAAAACTGTCACGCACCTTTACTAACATGTTCCTCATTTTCTGTACGTGACAAATAAAGGTACAAAATAACTAATCAGAACAACCAGTTAATGTTCAGATTTCACCTGTTAATGTAAAAATCTGATGATTAAAAAACGAAACAATAGGCTTATATGTTATATGAAGCTGGACGTGTTTGGCGCTCATTGGCTTACCTTTTGGTTCCGTTGTTCTATAATTTGTTCTCATTTGAGAACGTGACATTACTTACTTGGATTGAACAAGGTTTACATGGTGGGTATCGTCGATGAATTAGAAGACGCTTACTCTTCCGGAACACCTAGACGTATACTCAGTGTACCTTTTTTGGAGTCTCCGTATAAATCGTTCTTTTGTTCATATCCTGCGCTCCCCCCTACTTATTGCTTTTGTGCTTTGGTGTCGGTTTTGATGTAAAGCATCATGTCATTCATATTTAACCCCTGTTCCATCAATTTTCAATTTGAACGAATTTTATCAAAACGTTGATATCATAATTTTGTAACTTGTCTGCAAATAGACTCGCTGTCATATCCTTCGATAAAGATGAAATAAATATTGGTTTGGACGTAAATTATCAATTAGCTTAACTCTTTAACTCGTGTTAATTTCTATCACACCAGAGTCTTTATAACCTTTAATTTATCAACGTAAGTGTTGAATGGTCTTGGTTTATAATCCGTTAACAGCAGATAAGTCAATAATGAGCAAATGGATTACACTAATTCCCTACCGTTTAACCATGACATAAAAGAAATCATACTCAATCATCGCGAGGTCAAGACTAAAAGGGGCACAATGACAAAGGTGGGGTTCCAGCTTAAAAAACCTCTCAATACAAGATAACAAATGTGTTTTCCCAGTTTAGAATGGAGTATGGTGGTAAGAAAATCAAAAGTTCTTCCAAAAGAAATGTAGAAGATTGGTCCAAATCATTTTGGAGTTCACAAAAAAGATTTCTTGTTATTCAGACTGTTTAAGAGGAATTGGATTTTTTAAAACCAGCCAAAATTAGTATGATACCTGGTGTTGTCTTCGTATTACTTAACGCTAATGGTACCATATTTTAATTTTTTCGTTTTATTTTTTTATTCAAAAAAAGTGTTTTCCTGTTAAAAAATAAATAAAGGGGTAATGCACAGTAAAATATAATTAATTATCTGATCATTATAAGGCGTATAGATAGTTTAATGCTACTTATAAAATCATATTTCCATTCTACATTGTAGGAATAGTCTCAACAACACATTTTCCATTATTTTTCAAAGAAATCTGAGAATTGTGTATTTTCTGGCTTTGAAAAATAAGACTTGTCAAGGAAAAAATCAAGCTGTCATATCAACAAGCATTGCAATGTTTACAGTGTATTATTGAAATGAAAAACGATCAAAAGGGCACCCTTGGCGATGTCTACATTTTATATTTTATACTTATAATAATTCTGGTTCTTGATTATTAAACGCCTGAATATTGAAATATACACCTTACTCATAACTGAAAACAAAATGGGATATTTATTCCGTGTAAACGGTAGTGCCTAATCAAGGAAAATCTCTAACCGTAAATAATACAAAATATTATATAATTACTTATGTTGATGGAGAACATTGACTTTTATGTAAATATTCCCAATGCTGTTCGATATTAAATATACCTTTAATTTATGCTAAACTCAAGCTGTTGATACATGTAAATTATCGTATGTCATATACACATAAACCATCATTAAAGTCAAGTGAGTGTTGATTCTACTGTCCATTTTTCATCAAAATGACTGTAAGTTTATTTGATATCATTTATGTTACTACACACTTTGATTTTTTCTGAACATTCTGTAGTTACAGATGATACACATAACGTTTCTTGTTTTTCTAAATGCTAGACAAAAGCTACGACATAATGATTTGATGACTTATCTTACAATAATCTAACAATACTTTATTTCTCACCCACTGAGAGAGAAATATGTCCCACAATGTGCGCAAATGTGTATCTTTGCGAAATGTGTAACTAAAATGAATCACAGGCCCTGTTGAACTTTAAAAAACTGTAAAGTTTTAAATAAAAAGTGGGAGTTTTTATCCCCATTTTTATAAAATGAAATGTCGGCTTGTTGTATTCCATTTAAAGACCTTTTATTAGTTGTCTTGGATAACCTGTTGTATTCTCATATTCTAAGGTCATATATGCAATTAAAAGAATGTATCGTCATTAATGAAGGGTCTATTAATATTTAAATCTTAATCCTCATAAATAAATCAACCAGAAACGCTTGCCTAAAACCCTGCTTTGAAGTCTCTCTGAACACTGAGTCGATTTCGGCGAGTCCTTTTCAAAAATACTTTGGTAATTGGGCAATTTCTACGCGTTATATTTTAATCGCTGATTCATGTGGTAAAGATAATCTGTTAATGCGTTAATGAGACACAACAATACAAGGATTTATGACGTCAGCGACCGTGTGTATCCAACTTTGTACACAACCCAATGATTCAGTATTGATTGATATCAATCGTCAAAATGTCGTTCTACCTTTCACTAGATGCAATACATTTGAAGATGAAAGAAATTTAAAAAGTTTTTTGAATTTCAAAGTTATGTGCTCCAAGTTGGAATGTGTATGTTTGTAGTCCATGACATAACTAATCGTAAATTTCTTGTACATTCATAAATTTTTGAATGACTGTTTGTTTAAAATAGAATACGGATTATAAAACTTACACACATTACAGACACTTGGTGTAATTCTTGCAATGTTTCAGCATTTTACGTGTAAATTGAATTTATGTTTGAATTATGTTAACAGATCGGCATATTCATTGTTGTCGCTTTTTCACGTATAAATGTAATAATGTTTCTATTGAAACAACCAACACTTTATCGTTATTGATATATTTTCTGTCATTCAATTTTTATTCCTAAAAATGAAATCTTTCTGGAGGACGTGACATTTTAATGATTGAGTTATTATTGTCAGGAAGGATGTTTTCGTATTTTCAAGATGGAATACAATCAATGCAAAGACATGAAAAATATCGATGAATTACAATAATTGTAGATTAATAATTATTTCTATGAACAATATATTTATCTTTATCAAATGTCTGAATGAAACCACGTTTTAACAAAATAATCATAAAGGAAACAAAACCAAAAACATAATAAAGTATTTTGTAACCTTGTCATTCGTGTTACAATGATCAGTGTTATACGTGTGTTAGATATTAACATACGGTTGTGTAATACAGCAAGTTGGCATTGAACTAAATATTATAACAATACAATTTTGGTAAGTATATATCTATTTGTTTATATAACGAACCGTACATTTTGCATTGACTTGATCACATCAATACTACTCTGTGCAAAGTATGTCAATCACACTGGAAAGAATTTGTGTGTATTTAAGAGTCGTTTAAAAGATTAGCTGTATATCCGATAACCGTACCAAAGGACCATTTGGTAACACCTTTATTTCACACATTTCATTCTTGTCATCTAAAGGGAACAGTATTACGAGGACGATCACGTAACGTTTTAGTTATGTGTGATACCAGAAAGTCGGTAACAGGTAATTTTCCGGTTTTTTATTTAGGTACTCTGCATTATGATACAAAAACACGTGCAAGTGTGTATTGCACTAGCAATCTCGATGCTCGCAACTACATTGTTATCTATTTTTGAACAAATCGATATCATCGTTCTGAAAAATAGTTACATATATAACTAAAATGCCAAAATCAACATGATAGATCACTGATGTTTTCGGACAAAGCAGCCATCCTCTGGGGATTGCCTGAATTTATACAAAACATTGGAACCCGTTTTGACGATGGTATATAATGTTGCAATTTGTCAGCAATATTCTTTGAACAAATATTTCTATTAATCAAGAGCACAGCGACAACGATACAGTGCGATGTATTGTGGTGTCAGACGCTCTTTTCATATCAGTTTCGTTAAACATTCTATCCACGATTTTTATTAACACTTGTTAATTTTACTTAATGAGATGCAATATTCGCAGCCTATTGTTAACATTTCATACGCAAACATCGGTATCACTTCTCTGGATTATGGTTACTATCTAGAAAATTATCATTTTGTCTGCAAAGAGAAAATTTTATTAGATGTTGGTTGTTGTTAATGAAATTTTTTGTCGTCACAGCTTTGTCTTACATATTGTGTCCATACACTCAATCACTTACAAATTTGATATGAAAAGAGTCTCTAACTTAGACAATAAGGTATCTATTCATCGTAAAACATTTATCTATGTCTTGCTTGCCTGTGTAATAAGGAAAGAGCAAGTGACAAAATTCATGTCTTTGAAATATTTCGATTATCGTAGATTAATCTTATCTTGTTTGATTTTTCATTTTCGAGAAAACTTTGCGCTAACAATCATTAATCAATGTACATCCATCCAAGTTTGGATGCTAGTTAGTTTTCCTGTTGGTTACTTATTTGAATAGACCAAGGACTACATGGAGGATGTCATCGATGAAGCGGCAGACGCTTAATCTTCCGGAACACCAAGTCTTATTCTCCTTGTACTTTTTTCCGTGTAAATCTTGCCATATTGGTTTTTTTTAAATTTATTTCTCCCATTCGCCCAGTTTTTCCAGTTTGAAACAGTAGATTGATGTTAAATCTGAAGCGTATATTTTATCGTTTTAGAAGAAACTTAAAAGGAAAAGCAGTCATCTTGTAACTTAGGTGTGCTGAACCGGTGGGTGGATCAATGATAAATAATACAATGTATTCGCGCTATCCCACTTTGATAATCAAAGGAAAGACAATTCATTCAAGTCGTTTTTATAGAAAATAGGATAAAAAAATCGCTAATTAAAAACGCTCTTAACACTAAATTGTGGTACTGCGGAGAATATCCTATCATTTTGGTAATAGAAGGCGACATGTATACTCGTTCAGAAAATTGTTTGAAACAGATAGGTCGCTTTGAATTATTGTATGTAAAGTTTGGTGTATTTTATTATTTCGTTTTAGAGATCATAACCGTATATTACAATATGTATGATACAGTCAAATATTTTTAAAATATACAAATAGGAACTTGTTGGGGGTAGGGGTAGTTTTAAGACTCCTTAATCAGTGATGAAGTCCTCTGTTAGTTCTAACAGTAATCCTGATATCGATATAAACATTTTAAAAAAGTCCTTTTACAAAATCTTATTTTCAAGATATTTCTAAACGTTTTGCTTAATATTAATAGTCTTTTATTGTTTAGACTGTTCGATTGTGTAGTATCATAATTCTATGATGTTAGAAATATTCCATTTAAATAGGTAACTGCCTTGCATGATGCTTTATCCGTTTATTGAACCCGAAAGCGTTTCAATCCGAATTTTTCAGATGTATTAAGTATTATCAATATTGCTAAAAATCAAAATAGGTGACCAAAAAAGGTGTCTTCTCTTTTTCAAATATACATGATTATGTTATATTCAGTCTTACATAGATAGGAAAAGAGATACTGCGATGCATAATGTTTGAAGTGGGACTGAGATTGGCCTATAACATGACTACTATTATATCAGTACGCTGTATATCGGCAAAATGAAATATGATCAAAGAAAACATGTACATTGTATATTTTTGATAATAATATAAGACTGTTGCATTTTTGAGATTGCCTTTTTATTTGTTCACAACAAACTTTAAATTTTGTCATTTTCTTCGTTTAAGAATGAAATAAAAGAAAACAAACTGATATATTGATCAAATGGACTGGGCTGTTATTTACATGAAAATCACTTTAAAGCTGACATATAGGTTTTTATATCGTCGATTCAAAGTGAGCATGCGCGGGCTATATATACAAGTCCATGTGTATGAATGTTGATATCATAGTTAATATGTTATTATCATTACATAACCCTATGAAACTTTTATCCGTTTCAGATTAACCCCGTAACACAGACTTTGGATTAGCGGTGTCACTAGTTATGACGTCAGTGAGTCAGAAGGCGCACCTGATTCACGACTCTGGGGGATATTTTGATGAACATACTCACCGTACATATTCACCGAAGTATCTCGTGAACAACAACATTACAGTCGAGAGGATGCCGTTTACAACATCTGGAGATGATTCGACTTATACAGGGGAATATCTGGATAACACGACAGATGTTGACGAGACATCGTTTAGTTTAAAGTCTGAAAAAGATTTTAACTCGTTAGTATCGGAATTGTCACTTGGAAATGGAGAGGAATTGACAAATTATGCGAACGGAGACTATATTTCAGAAAATCTTGATAATGATACCGATAAACCATGCAATTGTGATACAGTTAGTTGTCTATGTGAAACAGCTAACTTTATGATAACCGAAGATAGTGAAAATGTCATCAATATTTCTTCCAAACAATGTAAATCTAGTTTACTCCCAAAACCTCAGAAATCAACCGATTCAAAGGATCATTTAAACAACAATAAGGTTTGTTTTCCTAAAAGCCAGGAACTATTGGAATATTATCAATCAACGGAAATAAGAAAAGATGAAGTGACTGGTGGTAATAAGCATACAGTTCATGAAGGATTTGTAACAAATATTGAAAGGCTATGTCACGCTTACAGTGACGTAGTGCACGTTAATGATGACGCAGTTCAGTCAGCTGGTATATCAAGAGAAGAGAAAGAAAATGTTAATTGCCATCTATATAATCATGCGAGCTTGTCACGTGGCTGTGCTGGACTTGAAACGAATAGTTCACTTCATGAATCGGAAAAGCGAGAAATTTCCGAAGACGGAAGTATACCCAAAACACATTTTTCGATCGGGAATGAATGCATATTTGATCAAGACAATGTGCCAGAGGGGGATGCTATACAGAAAAAGTTGTTTATCAATAACTGGGCACAAGGTTTCCCTCAGGCTGGTTATAATGCTGAAATGTTTGCATCTGAGGCTAGTAACGTTGAGTCATATCTACTCTTCCGTCAAACAAGCATCAATTCAGCAGAAGATGCTACCTTAGAGGGATCAAACTGCAGCAGATCCACGTCACCAGACTTGAGTGAGTCCACTTGGTCTATTTCGTCCTTAAACGAAATGCCACAAGGCAATCGGAGACTCTCTTGCTGCTCAATAGCATCTTTGTCTTCGTTGTCAATAGCAGATTTTCTTCTTAGGCCACATTCCGCAAGGTAGGCTTTGTTTGAAACATGTTGTGTAAATCTTATTTATTTGTGTGACAAGAGTAATTTAGATCTATATTCAGGATAATATTACTCATCCAACGTACTTACAGCTGAGCTTACGTACAACGCACCAAACACTTTGTGCCTACGCCATTCGCACACAAGCACTATACAGTGTCGTGCGGACAATTGTGCGATAGGATCGCACTTTTGTGTTGTTTAGTAAACTTGGTTGGCATATATTACGGATTGAAAATTAAACGGAATTACTTAATAACGAAAAAACGAGGAATATTGAAATTGAAGAGTGATTTTTAGTGTTTGGAGTATCACCACTGGACCCTGCGTTAATTAGTATTTAGTATTAGTATATTTTCACACAGTGACGAGTTGTGGTGCCTCTGGCAACAAAATTTACTAGTACACGAGTATATACGGGACACGTCTGAAATTAAGAAAATAAATAAACCCTATCCCACACTTATTTAAAATGTCATTTCTAGATATATATATCAACCACGAAAGAATCGCACATTTCTCTATCATGCGCATATCGCTTTAAGTGCGATCCCACAACTGTAATTTTCGGAAATTCTACTATGAAAGATAATTATCCATTAGTTATCATACTTCATTTAATCTACAATGAAGGTTTACAAATGCAATAGAAACACAAATAGAAACAAGTCCTCTTAAATAAATGTACAAAGAGTTGTGATGTTATTTATTCTAAATTTGCGTTCATCTAAAATTTGAATGGATCAATGATTAATACATCCATACTCTGTCAATGGTTATGGCAGATGTATATTTGAATTAAGGAGAAAAACTCTTAACCAAAATGTGTGTATTACAAGTTTCTTTATGTTCTATAATGGTTATACAATTCTCAACCTTTGTTGTAGCACCACTGCCAATGTATCACTTCCTCAGTCGAGAAGAGCTTCTATTGATGGCACGGTGGACAAAGTCTCCTCACGGCAGCCATTACTATCATGTTCAAAATCTTCTAGGAGAGCGTCGGTCACAAGTGCTACATTTGAAGGTCTATCAAACTTATCTAGGCGATCTTCTTTCTCTGTGGTCATTTCTCGACCAACCTCTCCTATCATCGAGGAGACACATCTTGGTGTATCTCGTAACCTTTCCCTTTCAACACTGACTGAGATTTCAAGTAAGTCTTCTGTGTCACAATGTTCAAGGAAATCCTCGTTGATCGACTCAAATTCGACTTCTCCTTCAAGGAAATCATCTTACCCTGAGCGACGAAGTTCTGATTCGTCCGAAATATCATTGATGTCCCTTCACGGTACATTTACTGAACGGGGTTCATTGTTCTCCAACAGTCTCGATCCTTTGGACAGTATTGAAAGAAACGACACACCGTCTCCCTCACCGTTCGGTGATCAATTGAAATACTTTCAGGTAAGAATCTCCATAGTAACTTCTAAACTTTTTTTTAAAGTCGTACCACGTCAATTCCTGTAGATTCCAATTGACTTTGGAGAAGTGATAACGAGAAGGTTGTAACAAGTTCGAACTCAGAAATGTTGATTGAATAAGTTGATTATGGTGAACTTAAGCGAGCGCAAACAATGGTGACTGATGGAGAAATTTCAAAGAAGGCAAGACAAGATATTATTCAACTTCGTTTAGATTTTGGGAACATTTCCTGCAGGTTAGGAATGTCGATAGATAGATAACAGTTTGAAACACAGTAAATCTAATCAAATGTCGTAATATTTCTTTGTATAACACTAGATAATAATTCTTCACGGGTTTAAAAAAGAAATAAAAACACAATGGTACATCCGCATTTCTACTTTTGACCCATTGTTTTAATTTCATATCTTATTTATTTTTTAAGTTATTTTACCTGCCTCAACTTTTATCTTTGAGAGTATGCTTGTGTCCTAAGTCGCCTGCAAGTTTGTCATACATATATAATACATTATTTTTAATTGATAGAGTCATGGGCAAATCCAATCTTTCTTTTCAATACGACTTTGGGGTCAAGTTCTTCAGGACAAACTTTTCACGCAGGTTTTGAAATAATATAGTATATAATATAGTAAACAAATGATAGAATTCATGTAGAGAATAAAGACTGGTCTAGTAAATTTGAGTCAAACAGAGAATATTGTTGAAGTTCCATTTACTTCTTGACTCGCATCAAGACATCAAAAAAATGCCAAAATGGCAACATGTTCGCGATTTCAAACTCAAATTCCATAAAACTAGGACAAAATTTGACCTAAAGAAAGATTTACACGGAGACTCACAAAAATGCACAAGGAGCATAAGGCCATGTGTTCCGGAAGAGTACGCGTCTTCTGCTTCATCGTCGACAGTCGCCTTATAAATCTTGGTCAATCCAAGTAAGTAATGTCACGTTCTCAAATGAGAACATGGTATACGACAACGGAAGCAACGAGCAAATTAACGAGCATTAAACTTCGCTTTAGTTTACTCCAACCTGCATCTTTCCAAACCATGTGTTGGTGACTTCCTTCAAGACATTGTGATAATTGAAAAAGGCTCTCGAATATCGAACAAACAAGGTCAGAGGTCACCAGTATTATGAAAGAGAAACAAAACGACTTTGCAAGGTCGTTGTGACCTGCTTTGATGAATTCAGCCTTGTAAGGTTCCATAGATATGTCAATAGCCTGTTAGTCTACAATTCTCGATGAAGATATTATCAATCAAACATTCGATCGTTTCTATGATTTTGTATATTTCTTTTTTGATTTGGACGTATCTTCCACGAAATACACTTCAGTATAGTTCACAGACTTATTGACGAAATGTTTGTTTTAGAAGAGGGTGTTGAAAATTGGTCAAAAGGTCTTTAGAGTGCTTTAAGATCTACATACTATATCATTTCAGTTCTTAAGTAAACAGTATTGCAATAAGATGGTAACACAGATAATGCTATGAAAGGTAATTAGTAGATTTGATACAGGTTTGGTTGAGAGCTAGACATGCCAGCGATAAAACGTTGTTTACAAGGATTCTTGTTAAGGATTCTAGTGTAAACGGGGATATCCGTACCCTTATTAACAGGCAACCTAAATATTTGTGACACCAAAGCATAATTAGCCAGTAGTTCTTCGATTAAAAAAGTTTTCATTTTTATTTTCATTTTTTCCCAATTTAGGCTATTGATATGCTGTTGTTTTGATACTATGCTTATTCATAGTTTTTGTTAATCAGAGTTGCCGCACAATTTCCAGTCTGCTTTCGAGCTAAGAACGAAACATCCGCATGAAACTTGTATATGCCGAATACATTTGTGTATTTGCACAACAAAATTGTCATTAAGTACAATAGGTGTGCACAAATTCATCACTACATACATAATTGCAATTAATTCTTTATTTAGGTCAATAGCACGTGATAATGTCAGTGTTAAGGTAGATCTATAAGATATCTAAATTGATCCGAAATTTCCCTATATTTCAAGGACAAAAGAAAAAACCAAATGTTTTTGGTGAAAACTACGACAACTCGGTTAGGATTAAACACCAGAAGGAACAGTTACAACCTGTGGAGGGAGGAAAACCTCGATAACAGAGGCCGACCTTTACTAAAGAAACCGGAAATCAATGTCGGGGAAAAGACTGATATATTTACAAAGGAGAGAGTAGCAGCAATCAACATGGCCATGGAATGGGTTCGGGAGGAACTGGTATGTATTGTAGTTAACTATTTTTAATACATGATTTATGCATTTCCTCTCCAACCAATTGTATCATCAGTTTCTTGGATAGTCCAGGGATTGTCACCAATATCAGGATTTCAATGAAAGATGTCGGTCGGTGATAGGTAAACTCACAACATAGAGATTCGAAAGACCTGTGAAGATGAATGGGAAAGTAAACGGTTGTTACAATAATTTGATACGAAAATGTTAGAATATGTTGGATGCTTATAACTGGCTCAGGTGGTTCGAAGTTGTTTACCTTGTTCTCATTTAGAAACCTGACATCATGTGCTTGGATTGACTACGACTTGTAAGGCGGATGTCCTTGATGACTCTTTTGCTCATAGTTTGTTTCAAACTAGCATTACAGGATTTCAAATTATGAAAATTATTAGGAAGTTCTATGGTCATAGTGATCTAATTGAAAAATAGTCTATTTCTTTTCAAGATATGAAGGTGGACGTATTTGATACTTGTTAGTTTGCTTGTTGGTTTCCTTGTTATATACATTGTTCTTATTTGAACGTGACATTACTTACTTGGATTGACCAAGGTTTGCATGGCGGGTGTCGTCGATAAAGCAGAAGAAGCTTACTCTTCCAAAAAGCCTGGTCTTATTCTCCCTGTGCGTTTTTCAGGAGCCTCCGTGTAAATCTTATGATTATGTAGACATTATATTTATTCATTAATTTCTCTATGGGGCAAATATGAAAAGAAATAATAGTTTTTTTTCACACACACTTAAAAGTACATCATAACTTTTAGATTCTGGTTACATCGTTGACTCTGACACTTATTTTTTATCATATAAATAAGAATGATTGAAGAATTTAAACAGCATATTTTAGAATGTATAGCAATAAATGACTCAGATATTAAATAACCAATTAATGTAATTCCGGAAATAAATAAATAAACAACCGTCAGTTAACAAAAATCCCCCCAAAAAACATATCCTTGATTAAGTACGGCAATGGTGATATCTTTCTGCGATTTAGAATTATCAGATACAGTAGCGCTAATAAGAATCAAACAGCTTAAGGCAGCTTTTTCGTTCATTTATGTTAGAGATATAAGAAAGGCTCATCAAGTGGTTACATATAAATAAAACTTTGTATTCCAGCATCAACTGAGAGAACAAGACGAATCCCTTGCGCACCAATTCCTAGACATAAGACGTACGATTCATGAACTGAAGTTAGACTGGAGCTGTGAGGACCACAGGGAAATGCTTATGCAAGCCGAGGACGAAATCGACACAATTGAAAACCTTAAGCGTGTTAGTGATCTTCCAGAACACCACTCACATGACTTCATATTGCGAAACAAGGGTGTGACAAGAATAAAACTTGGAGAACGCAAATATTCTATATTCTAGATTTAAAGCTGCAATATGTATTCACAGAACAGGACAATATTGTTTCAATAGGAATTCTGACACATTGCACTTCCACGTTGTTTTATGTAAATTAAATATTATATATATGTAATGTTGTCCTTGATTGGAAGTATACACCTTACACTTCTACCTTCGCTGAATGAGAAAATAAACAAAGTAAATAAAAGCCATGAATAGACAGCACCATTTTAACGGTCTTCACCAAAATCACGGTCACAGGTCATAGCTTTTACATTGTCAATTCAGTAATTTGTCAATCAAATTTGCACGTTTTGATAGAACACTCGTTAGACATACGTTTTAAATCACTTCTTTTAAATAATTTTGCCTGAGATTTACTTCATTTACAAATTAAAACTCCAGTAGTCGATAAACCTATATTTGAGCCAAAATACATGAAGATTTTATGTAATACTTTTTGATAAAGGAAATTGCGAAGAATGACTCTAAAAGCGAACAATTAAGAACAAATTGGAGCTCTGTCAACATGAGTTTTCACACGAAGTCTTATCAAGGACTTGTTATGTACTACAACATGTGTGATTATATATATATTAAACTCAAAGGAAACCCAAAGGCTGGAATAATTTCAATATACCTTTAAATGATTTGTTAACGTTCATTGGTAGAATAAAACCGTTATCTATTAAGTGTATAAAAATCAGTACATACCCATAAATACAATGTCTATTGTATTGTCATAAGTGGATCATTGTCTTAGAGCTCTCTGTATTAATTTGCTATCAATATATATATATATTGACTCTTCTGTTATCAATTTGATAATGAAGGGTGAACGACGACTTTTCATTAAGGTCAAAAATATTGTTTTCACGATTGTATAGAGGTGAAATGACTAAACATTTAATTTAACATTCGTTTTTCCTTAATTTTTTTTTTTTTTTTTTTTTTCGTTAAAGTTTGTCATGAAAAAACCATCATCAATACATCTGATATCAACAAGAATTGTATATAATATATGGTGAACAACGAGGAGACCAATCATCCATAACCAAAGAATTGTTTTAAATTGATTTTTATTTTCGTTTGTTTTATATATGTAAATTGAATAACTCTGTAAGTCTTGAGAAAATCGGTTCAAAATTAACACATGCTCATAGTGATCATTCAAGAGTCCAAGAAATGTGTTTCACTTTTGGTCTTGGTATATTTTTAAAATTGCAAAAAATGATTTCAATTCCGGATAAGCCATAGAAGGAAAAAACAGATGTATGTGCAGTTTCATATTCATTCAACCAAAAAAGATAGATGAATTATTCCTTTCATTAATCCTTGTCAATCACGTTCGAATGAAGTATTTCATCAATCCCGATAAAACCGGTGTAATACTTCATTGTACGTGATTATTCAATGTTAGAGGACGTCGGGATCAATTCCAAATGAAGGCACTATTAGGAACGAGTATGACCATCGATTGCTTGCTAAACAGCATTGCAGCGTTGTCGCATGGAGAAAGAAATGTTCCACTCATCCTTGAAGACCTTGACCAGCTCCTGTAATTGTGACGGCTGATTTTGACGTTCTCTCATGCGTTGTCGAAGGTTGTCACAACATGTTCAATTGGTGTCGATTCATGGTGAATTCGATGGCCAATGAAACATCTGTACGTTATGCTGCGGCAAAATTTTACTACGTAACTAGTGGACAATTAGATACTGATCCTGATGAAAAGTGCTCGTCGCCTCCACGCTCTAGAGTCTTCTGTTACCGTGTGCGAGGACACTCGGATGTTTACCCAGTCTCATATAGAAATGTTAATTGATAAATTGTCATAGCACTGCAACTAAAATATTGTGCAATTCTAGGGTGTGACTCTCCATTAGATAAAATCTACAGCCATTTCCCTCTTATCTTTTTGACAGCCAACACTGTTTGGCTAGGTTGATAAATAGCACGGTTTTTAATCCGAAGACTTAAAAACCTAAGTAACAAATATCAATTTGATTGTTGCAAAATTCAATCGCGAAATACCTCGTGGAACTCTTCAATAAATACATACTGTCGCGCTTGATGAAGGTATTGGGTAATCCCCTTTGGATTTCGTAATGTAAACTACTTGTATTGTCAATTTCTTATATTGCAATAACGTCATTTTTAGCCGAATTCTGTATGTTTTGAAGGTTGTGCAAGAAACGTATCAACTGAACGCCATTCAATACAAATTAAGAATTTGATACAAAAGAGCCAAAATACTAATTAAACTACATCATACATCTCCTTCGTTGTTGTAGGATTCGTCAGTGATTCGTCAGTGATTTTAGAGGTATTAAACTCAAAAGACAAATGACGCAAATCAATAAATGTTCAATATCCGATGATTGTCAAAGAACGTCCAATTTTAAACGTTGCATGAAGGATCGGGTGCTATGGACGAGTGTGTCTTTTTATAACATTAATTTATGGTTTTTCTTAATATCAGGTTATACGATGTACGAGTATACAAATCTGTCCCTTCAGAATTATCAAGCTCCTTATAACAATCTCGGTCAATAAATGGTTAATAGCTTTCCAAAGAACTTGAATCAAAAGTACATGTGTTCCATGACCTTATTGAAACAATTCCTACATTTGTTGCCAGCTATCACAAAATTTTCAGACATTGTGTTTAAAAAGTTAAAACCTTTATTGAGAAGTGTGAACTAAAAAATAGACCAACATTACTTAGAGTACTTCAACTCCTGTTCCTATCAATCAAATGTCATTACCAAGAACTTTACAGCACTTAATACGGTCTTAAGTTTAAATATACATGTACCTATAATATCTTGAGGCAAGCTTTTATCCATCTAGTGCAAACAGTTGAACTCGACATTAACTTAATGGGTCTACAAAACATACACAAGGGTTGTGAGTTTCAACCGTTTTCAACCCGAAAACTCAATAGCACTCCACTCCTTTAACAGACAAAGCAGCAAGAACATAGACAGTATGCAATGTTTAGATTAGGTGATCTTTGGCTTGTTTTTGGCCAGCAACAGGCAAAGTCCTATGGCAATGGGTGTCTATTATGATAGAAAGAGAACTGCAAATAAGTTATTTATCTATTTATTAGATAGGTATGTCATCTCCTATTCCAGCGTTTCAACAAATGATATCCCAATATTGCTCTCTTTTCTGAAAGCATTCAGATGGATAACATAGAAGATATTCTTGTTCCCTCTAATGACATAAGCACAGATAATGCAGTCTGGTATTTATTGCAAATTAAGACGTGCAGTGAAATATAATATAGTATTACTTGTTCTCTTCGCTAATTCTACAAGGGTTCGTAATGTTAACTACACGCATTTTATAATATTATGCAAGCCATTAGCTTATATAAATCGCTTCTGTTGGACTTGAGAGATGTCTTACTATTACAGAAGAATATACATGTACTACCGGGGAAAAACCCACGTGATCGAACAGGTGACTACATATCCTTTCACGTCCATTTTTCACCAGATGACAGATACCCTTTCACGTCCATTTTTCATCAGATGACAGATACCTCTTCCACATATCAGTTGCTTTATGTCAAAATCTGGAACTATATACTGAAATGGCCGTTATATAGATTTGCTGCGTTTCATGTTGTTTTGTCCTCTAAAGGGTCAAGGTCAAATGAAGACGGAGTCCATGGATAAAATTGATACATACGGACGTTTTTATAGTACCATCACACTGAAATGTCATAACCATGACATATTATAACCTCTACCCCGTCGCCCACCCAAACCAGGTCGCATTATATTTATGATTCACTAAATTCATATACAAAAAAAGAATTTTCAAAAAGAATTTTACTTATATATAATATAAATACACATGATTACCACATCCAGTAGATGACAACTCGGGGTAAAAATAGGTTGCTCATATAACTCACTCATAATATTTTGTACATACACATTAATAACAATATACAACTTTACTGTTTGTGATGCATAATAAAATATCACAACTTATAATTAAGCCTAAATTCCAGTATTCATTAGTGGTATCTTACAGTTTGTTTATCAAGCACCTTATACAATTTCTGAAAATGGTGGTACACATGTATTACTCAAAATAAGGAAAAGCATAGATCTGGTGGGAAACATTGCTTTTATATGTCGTAATCAAATTCCTTTAAGTAATTACATTAAAATGACAAAAATAATAGACTTAATTGGTTCCAAAATGATATTATCAACTTACAAATATACACTTCTGGTTCAATTGCCTTCTATTTGTTGGTTTGGAAAGTAACGCCCATCTGTGTTAATATTAGGCCTGTAGATACCTAACTTTCAGTTATATCTTCACTGCCTGACAATCAAATGTTCACAAAATATGACAATTGTTTACTTCTGGAGCTTAAATGATTCATTTTGATTCAAGTGAACTTTTAAAAAGTTCAAGATGTTGCATGTGAACAGCCGTGGTATCAATTACAATAAAAACATTCTTAATTTTCCAACAGACTTCCTGAGTATTTAGGTACTTGAAGAGGCAGTATTTTATAATGTGGTGGATATATGTATCTAAGTGTTGAAGGGGCAGTATTTTATAATGTGGTGGATATATGTATCTAAGTGTTGAAGGGGCAGTATTTTATAATGTGGTGGATATATGTATCTAAGTGTTGAAGGGGCAGTATTTTATAATGTGGTGTATATATGTATCTAAGTGTTGAAGGGGCAGTACTTTATAATGTGGTGTATATATGTATCTAAGTGTTGAAGGGGCAGTATTTTATAATGTGGTGTATATATGTATCATAGTGTTGAAGGAGCAGTACTTTGTAATGTGGTGTATATATGTATCATAGTGTTGAAGGGGCAGTATTTTATAATGTGGTGGTTATATGTATCTAAGTGTTGAAGGGGCAGTATTTTATAATGTGGTGGATATATGTATCTAAGTGTTGAAGGGGCAGTATTTTATAATGTGGTGGATATATGTATCTAAGTGTTGAAGGGGCAGTACTTTATAAT